AAGTGAGTAAATAGAGAAGAAATGGGAGAGAGACTGTTAATAAAAACTGCTGTTATTTGAACCATGTCAATGTGTTACTTATTCAAAAATTAAATTAAAGCTTTTTAAACAAAAAAAGGGTGGGGATGGAACAGTGGAATGTGGTTGAGAAGCAGATAGACATAGGAGCAGACCTACAGAGAAAACAGCGGAGCACACTCATAGTGGGCCCTGGTGACTACTGACAGATTCCCACTAACTAGAACTCAGAGCTGCTTTAAATCCAGAAGGGCCTCTGCTTTTAGACACAGTTCTCTTTATATTTCTGTAGTTGCTTAGATTTTGTCTCTCCAGAAACAGGCGCATACACTAGGGTTAACTGGGACTCTATTTCTTAACCCAGCCTATAAGAACCTCTGAGGAAATCAGCTCTGCTGTAGCTGAGTCGGCAGAATGAAATGGGGTAGAATGTTCTGTGTTCAAGAAGAGCAGAGGGTGTATCGCAAAGCTCATAGAACTCATAAATGTTATAGACCATGATAGACAATTTGCTCCAGGAAAGTTAGAATGTGTTTGTGACTTTAACTGAGCATCACTATCCCACAATACTGTGAAATTTGGGAAATTATGTAACCACTTAATCACAATAAAAAAGTTTGAAAAAAAAAGAAAAAAAGAAGAGCAGAGGGTGAGGATTTATGAAAGCACTGTTTGTCCTCTCAGAGGGGGCTGGGGTTTAATACTAACTAAAAAAATAATTGAAAAATACAAGTAAATACAAGAATTCCAAAGGGAAAAATGAGAGATGAAGTGGGAGGAGGAGGAGAGGAAATGTAGAGGGAAGAGGAGGGAAAGCACAAGAGAAGAGAAAGAGGAAATGAGGAAGAAGGAGAAAGAGAGGAAGAGGAAAGTGAGAAGGGAGAAGAAAAAGGAGTCAGAAACTAGGCCAGTGGGCTTCTCATACAATTGTGTGTGTGTGTGTGTGTGTGTGTGTGTGTGTGCGTGCACGCGCATCCACACTGGAAATTCAACCCAGGGCCTGAGCTGTTCCTTAGCTTTTTTGCTCAAGGCCAGTACTCTGACACTTGAGCTACGGCTCCACTTCAGCTTCTTAACAGGTTAATTGGAGATAAGAGTCTCACAGACTTCCAACCTCAATCCTCAGACTTCATCCTGCTGAGTTTGCTAGGGTTATAGGCATGAGCCACTGGCACCCACCCAGCTCCTCACATCATTCTGGAATTCCATCCAACTCCCACGACTGTAGGTTTCCTTAATCTTCCTATTCAGAAGCAAGCCGTCTGAGGGAGAAAAATCCCAAGGTAGAGAGTAGATGAGGGATCTTGTCCAAGGAGAAGAAAGCAAGTTGATTCTTTGGGGTTCAGAGTATCAGGAAATCCAGCAGTATGCTTGGGTCTGATGAGGTTTTTGGAGGCTGAGTAATGGAAGGCCAGCCCACCTAGACCTTTCTTCAAGTCATTCTGTGTCTGTTCCAGTGCCAAGCACAGGCAGGTTACTTCAATGCCGGTTTGTGGAATTAAATTTCATGCTTCCAAACGTCAACCCTGGACTCCCATGGCTAGCCTTCACATGCTCCAAACTCAGAAGTTGGAGTGAGAAAGAGCCTTGACCAGATGATGTCTCCTCCCTCAAAGCCATCCTACCTGTGGCCACACCCAGGGCCCCAGCAGAGGTAGCAGAAAGGATGTGATGGACACACATGGTACTTCACTGGCACTTTATTTTACAGAAGAACCCAAATATTTACATCTTGACAATTCTTACATTTTACATGGCTGGTTAGAGCATGGAGCTGGGAATTGGGTCCCAGGAGGAACACAGTGTGGTGAGTGATGGGAGAGGGAACTTGCTAAACCAGAGCAGAGGTAGTCAGAGGGGATGGTACCAGAAAAGATCAGGGTTCTAGCTACCTCTCGTCATCATCCTCACTTCTCAGGCCTTCTTGTTGTCAGCTCTTCTTGTTGTCTGCTTCCCTCTCCCTTATTCTTTACATCTTTATTCTTCCTGGAAAGGGAAACTGGAAGAGGGCTGGGATAGGCGAAGGAGAAGGCTGGAGTAGAGACTTCATTAATCCATAGCCTTCTGGGTATTTTTGGTTTGTGTTGCAGTGTGTACAGAGGTGCTTAGCAAACTATGGTCCACCAAAAGAAGTTCTCCTCCATAAACTGGTCTACAAGGACATTGTGGTTGGCACCAGCTGACAAGGCACAGCACACATAACCCAGGTTAGTGCATGCTGGATCAGATGTTCCCAGCATTTCCACTACTATAGCCCTCCTGCTTAGCCCTCCTGGGATGGATTCTTTCCTATGGATGCCATTTTGGAAGATTTTGTCAACCAGAAAAAACAAATTCATTCATGTACATGGAACAATTTGATTTTGTGATTAATCAAATTACAACATAATCTTCTACTGATCACAAAGAGATAACCAAAGGAATAACATACTGATTTGCTAGAAATTCAGTCAAAGACAAAAACACAAAGAAACTTTGCCACATGATCATATTTTGGGTAAGTGTACATTGACTAGAGTTCTTGAATAAGTTTATAACAAACACCTTCTCAACCTTTTCCCCTACCCTCCCACTTCTCTTCTGACCAGAAGGTCCAGCCTCGACTGATGTCAGATCTTTAGAATTAGACAATAAAGTGCCAGCAATGCCACCCTGTCGCTTGCAGCCAAAGAGCACTGGCCTACGTGTCACAAAAGGCACTTGTAGGTAACAGTTCCAATAATGCCTAGACATCCACATGGTCCTACCACCTCACCCCCAGGCTGGATCCTTAACTCCAAAGGTAGCAATGATCCCATGGTTGAAGTGATGGGGAGTCAGTGGAGTTCTAGGGTGACTTCCTAGAAGAAATGGCTGCCCTAAAATCATATCAATTTTGTCACCAATGCAGTATCTCAGAGAATTTCCCTGATGAGAGCCCCCAAAGTAACTCAGAGTAACATAGACTCAAAGTTAACATTGTCTTCTTCAATGAAGAACTCTTGATCAGCCTCGGGTAAAGAGGAAGACCAGGAGTCCTCAAACAATTGATAAATCAATGGGCCATCACTGAGAGAGCTCCTTCTCTAAAGTTGATTCAATGCTAAGACTCTAAGGAATTATAAGATCAGATTCTGCTTCAGAGCTTGTAAGAGTCCAGAAAACTCAACTAGCCACAAGATATAGAAAGTTGTGGAGTTCCAGGCATGAACCCTGCCTCACTCCTCCCTTCAGCCCAGGTAGTCTTGTGGATATATGTTAGAATTTGCACTGAGCACAGGAGACAGCAGGAAGCTAGCAGAGAAGCTAAGCTACAGAAACTTGAACTGTGAAACCACAAAGGCTTTCTTGGGTTGTCTTAATGGCAGAGTCCTGGGATAGGGTCTGGCTAAGGATCCCAAGAAGCTTCAGGTGGACTGAATCCCAAGATCCCAAATTGGGTTCTTCCAACAGGACTGATGTTGAGTGTGCTCTGGAACGTCTCACCATTTCTGAATCTTGGATTCTCTTTTTGTGTCTGCAAGAATCCCTTTCTAAGTCTTAAGAAAATCCAGCTTCCCCTCCTCATCCAGAGAGTGGATGGGTGTGTTTGAGATGGGGTAGGAGACATTTTGAAGATCATTGGCCACACTTGGGAAAGCATAAGGTAGGAAGTTCAGGAGGAGACACATGAAAAGGGTCCATTGCCTGTTTGGGGGCATCCCTCCAAGGCTACCTCAAATGCACTACCTACAACACAAATATCTTTCCTCTTTGCTGACTGATGGCTCCCTGTCCTACAGAAAAGAAAGATCTGGAATGAGGACCAGATTATATGGCAAGAGATGGCCAAGGAGCTTCTGCTAGAGAAGCATATGAAGGCAACTCTGAGCCAGAGGGAGCCCATACCGGTACAGACTTAGTCATGTGTAACTTGCCAGGACCCAGAATCCTTCCTCTTGCTGAGAGAAGTTTCACTGGTGCTTGGGGGCAGGGAGACAGGGGGAAAAATCTATATCCAGAAGTATCTTTCTCCCTGTCCTACTATGGTGGGCTGAAGCTAAATCCATAGTGAGATTCCTCCCTCTCCTTCGTGGGTGGGACAAGCAGGGTGGACAGAGAGGATGCTCAGTCTATCGGGGCCAATAGAATCACTTTCACACCTGGCCTCTTGTTGAACTCCTTGGAATCAGAGCTTTCAAGGAATGCTAGAATCTTGTAATGTCAACTGGGTAACACTAGTAACATGGAGGGCAGTGCCCTGGGAGAAAGCTGTGGTAAGTTCTGACATCGTAAGTGTTACATGAGGACCAAACAAGCAAATGAAAACTTGTCAGATAATTGGGATAACCTGATTAAACAAAGTTTAGTCCATTTGTTTTCTGCTTCAGGGCCTTTATTATACTAACAGAAATGGGCAGAATGTGTAATGTCTTCCAAAGCATACTTTAATGGATGTACTTTTCCATAGGTCAACATATACAGGATACTATATATAACATGTGTGTGTGTGTGTGTGTGTGTGTGTGTGTGTGTGTGTGTGGTGGAGGGGGGGGCAGTTATACTAGGGGTTTGAACTCAGGGCCTAGGTGCTGTCCCTTAGTTGTTGTTTTTTTTCTCTCAAGGCTAGCACTTTACCACTTGAGCCATAGCTCCACTTCTGACTTTTTGGTGCTTAACTGGAAATTAGAGTCTCATTGACTTTCCTGCCTGGGCTGGCTTTAAACCATGATCTTTAAATCTCAACCCCCTGAATAGCTTGGATTATAGTCCCCAGCACCCAGTTTACAGAGCATATTTTGTACTCTATCCATGAGTCACAGGAAAGATGCCCATATGTGTTTGGTGGTCCCCTTGCAGGCCTTTCTCTGTAAGGTCTCATTGCTCTTTGAGCTCTGGTCCTAGCCCTGTGAGCTCCCTATCTCTTTCACTGTCTCTTATAACCCTTGCTTCCCTTAAGTATATTCCTTGGTCTTGGCTCCATAGCTTTGGATTTGACAGAGAAGAGGTCAGCATGAAGGTGACATTGGTGGCCGTGGAGAGGAGAGACCAAAGGAGCCAGGCCCTGGGCCACCCTGGCACTGAGCTCTGATTGTATCTATTTTATAAGCAGCCATCATTCATAGACAGGGGAGAGAGGACAGGGAAGAAATGGGAGGAAAAGAATGGGAGGGGCATCTATAAGTGTGAGGCAAAGCCTGAGCCAGAGGGCCGGAAGCCCCCACCCACTGATGGGCACCCACCTGCTGACGTGGCTCCCTCAACCCTCAGCAGCAGTTCTCCATCCAGGGAAGGCTGTGGGTTCCCAATGTGGCTTCCCTCGGGCTCTACAAAATGGCTTCCCTCCAGCCTGGGGGCCCCTGGCTGCTGATAGGAGATGAGGGTCACTGAGGGAAAGCCATAGGTCTTCAGCTCAGGGGGCCGCCCAGCCTCCGAAGCTTCCAGAATAAGATCCACATCAGAGAAGGCCACCAGAGCTTGAGTGGAATCACAGGAGCTCTTCTCTAACTCACTGGTAGCAGCGTAGGTCAGGGGCCTGGCAGCCCGTGTGCGGGGACAGAGCCTCCGAAGGTCATCCCGGAAGTGGGGGTTGAAGAGCAGGTAAAGCAGGGGGTTGAGGCAGGCAGGCAAGGGCAGTACCACGAGCAGGATAGACTTGATGACCTCTGGGGTGACAGGGAAGAGGCCCAGCATGGAGGCAAAGCTGAGGAAGGCCACGGGGCAGTAGAGGAGCCCATCTGCAAAGATGAGCCAGGCCACATGCCTCACCATGGCGCAGTCCCACACGGCCTCAAAGTCCCCACGCGGCAGCTCACAGTAGAGCTTGATGTAGGCACCGGCCACTACCAGGAAGCAGAAGGAGTTCGTCATCACTAGGGCCACAGCAAAACCCAGGGCAGCCGGCTGGCCCTCAGGGGGTGCATAGGGCAGGCAGAGTGGGGAGGCTCCGTATTCCCCGACTGACATCAGGGGCAGGGCAGCGGCCAGTCCAGCCAGTGCCAGGCAGACCAGGGCTCCCACTCGGACGCTGCCCAGTGAAGGGGCTTTCCCGTAGGCCCGGACACAGGAAACAGAGATGCTGCACTGCACAGCGGCCAGGGTGAGCAGCAGCACTGAGGTCTCTGAGCCCAGGACAGCCAGGAAGCCTGTGGCCCTGCAGCCCAGCCCCATCTCCCAGCGGGCTCCATAGTCAGCAAACTGGCCAAAGGTCAAGGCATCCACAGAGGCCAGCAGGCCACAGGAAATGCCAGTCAACATGTTGGCACCTGCAATGGCACCTACCACGAACTTCACTGGGGGCAGAGGACCTGGCCCGCCAGCAAACATAGTCAGCAACACCAGCCCATTACAGAGCATGGAGAGGAGGACAATGGCCCACACGGCCAGGCGGATGCCCCAGCTCTCAAAGAGATGCTCGCAGGGCTTGAAAGGGCCTGTAGGAGAAAGGAACAGTTATAAACCTAGGGCCACAGACTGCTGGGCCCAGACCTAGAGCAAGGCCGGCCTCTGGGCTCAGAGCCCAAGGCTGCCCCCAAGAGAACTTGCCCTAGGGGAAGCAGGCCTGGCCTCTACCTCAGAGAACTCTTGTGGGGAGAGGGGGGGCTTGGGGAATTAGAACATGAATAGCTCTCCTTCCAAGGAGGAGTAATGGGGTGAACACTAGCCCTCTTCCCAACCGAAACACACATACATGGGCACACTGAATAAATTAATGCCACACAGATTTACAATGTGGTGGGTTCTTATTCTCCAGTAGTATAGAAATAAAATGAAGAAATGATGAGTACAGTTGTAAAGAGTTTCTTTAATGAAAAGGCCATTCAGGACAGTGAGCAGCAGGGCCCAGAAACCAGTGTTCCATCACATGGTCAGGCACCTGATGGTCTGTATCCTCCCTCCTCTCCTTTTCTCCTCCCTTTAGGCAATTTTCACTTGCTGATTGGTTTGTTTGCAACAAATAAGACCCTCCCCCTGAGCCGCAGCCACAAGAGGGTGGCTTATAAGAGTTGGCGTGAGTTATGGCAGAACCCAAGACCCTCCCCTGTATGGTGGTCTCTGGTGGGGGAGAGGGCAAGCTGGCATGAGCTGGTTGGCTGGTGTTTTTCTTCAGCATCAGCTCAAGCATTGAGTACACCTGTCTTTCTAAAGGAGCAAAGGATGGATGGGACAGACTAGCCCAAGGGAGAGGAGAGGACAGCAGAACCTGCAATAGATGGGATAGAGGCAGTGCACAAACGACTGCCCAGTGAGACACCACAGTCTGGTGTGTTCCGCCGCCGCTCAGTAATGCACTGTCTACTTCAGTGGCTCTCTTGCCCCGTGAGAGCAGTATGCCACATTTCATATTCATTCATCCATTAATCGGTATTTGGGAGATAAAGTAAGTAATCAAATGACTAAGTAAATAAGTCAGGTGTGGTGGTGGTACGTGCCTGTAATCCTAACACTTTGGAATCTGAGGCAGGAAGTTGAGAGTTCAAGACCAGCCTGGGCTACATAGAAATAGCTTATCTCCAAACAAGAGAACAATAAGAACAAAGTAAGAAAACAATTACAAGTGACTTCTGGATTTTCTGGATTTGCACACTCGATGGGTGATGGGTGAGAGTCTGGTGTTTTCTTATCTCTCTCTCCAAAGTCTGTTCTTAAATCACCTTGAACTTTGGACGTATTATTTCTTCATTTCCTTTGGCTTCAGATTCCTGTTTTTCGACGTATTGCTGGTAACTTGGGAATTTGAGAAGCTTCTGTGGGAGCTAATTTTAAACCCTTTCTTTTCTCATTATGCAATAATCAGTACTAATCATGGAAAATTTAAAATATGATATGGAAAAATTAAAACTGCTAATGTCCTCACCTCTCAGAAAGAACTTACTTTGGTATATTTCCTTCTGTTAAAAATACATACACACTTATAGATGCCTAAACCAAGTTGGGATTTCCCCACATATAGCTTTTTTCCTGTCTTTCATTAAATTTTATTATGTGCACTTTCCTATACCCTTTAATCCCCCAAAAATATTTTGAATGTCTGTATAATAAATAGTCTACCATATGACATACTATAATTTATTTAACCATTTAAATGAGCTATTTTAAAGGCAAGTTCAAGTTGGACCTTGTTTTTGAGACTTTTTCTTTGACCTCATCCTTGTTGATTACCGGTTTTCAGAGATGAAGTTTTTATAGTGTGAAGTATGTGAATTTCCAAGTCAAGAAACATCACCTGCTTTTCTAAGTTGGGTGGGTGCACTAGTGCCAGCTGGCACTAGGGGGCGTGCTGTTGTCACTAAGTGCTGATTGCTGTGGCTGGGCGAACTAGGTGAACTAGGTTTTAGGTAGGGCAAGGGAAGAAGGGCCTGAACTAAAGAAAGATAAAAATTTGGGAGACGGAGGTGAGTTGAAATAGAAGTAGCAAACTGATCATCACTTTTTCTTCATCCTGAACAGTTCACGCATTGGCTTGAGCAAGAGGCTGCTATTTTCTGGCATGGCTGGTTAGCAGTTACACAAAGGGAAAGGATTTCTTTAAAAACAGCTTAGCGAGCGGGTGCTAATCCTAGCTACTCAGGAGGCTAAGATCTGAGGATCTCGGTTCAAAGCCAGCCCAGGCAGGAAAGTCTATGAGACTTTTATTTCCAATTAACCACAGAAAACTGGAAGTGGCCCTGTGGCTTAAGTAGCAGAGTGCTAGCCTTGGACTGAAGATCTCAGGGGCAGCGCCCAGGCCAAATTCAAGCCCCACAATTGACAATAAAATAAAAATAAATAACTAAGCACCAGTGGTTCACACCTGTAATCCTAGCTACTCAGGAAGAAGAGATCAAGGTTCAAAGCCAACTGGGGCAGAAAAGTCTATGATATTCTTATTTCCAATGAATTATCCAGAAGCTAGAAGAGAAAGTGTGGCCCAAGTGGTAGCACCAGCCTTGAGCAAAAAAAACAAAATTTCAAGCTCTAGCACTAGGTCTAAATCAGTAAAAGACAAACACATCTTAGGTTGAATGGCATCAAAGAGAAAAATTGTCTTTTGATCTTAGACCCAGGGAGTACTCAAAAGCAGTACTCCTATCCCTAGCTATAAAACCAAGGTATTCTTTCTTGCTTCTCTTCTCTATGAGAGCAGTTTTCTCTCTTAAATGCATATTCTCTAATTGTCTGATTTTTAAAAGTTACTTGACTTCCAAAAGCCCGTCACCCTCAAGTAGCCACCCAAGGGAAAGAACTTCAGTTTGTCCCCTGCCACAAAATTATGAAATGAGGTGGCCTTCCCCAAGCAGGTTGGACACCAGACAAAGTCAGTGTCCGGAGCATGGCTGCCAATCTGCTGACCTGGTTACACACCCTGGGGTCTGATTCCCCGTTCCTGCCCCTTTCTGTGCTGCTCAAGTGCCCATCTCACCTGGCACAGGGCTGCACTGGACACTTGGGTGTGGCTTTGAGTCCTCCGTCTCCATCTGGAACTCATCCAGGTCCAAGTCATCTGAAAGGGGCAAGAAGGAACTGGCTCAGACACTGGGTCTTTGGTGTCCATCAAATCCCACCTTGGTTCTCACACGGGCCCCTTTCCACAGCTGTATCCCTCACTAACTCTACTCAGCCTGGCAATCCAGCAGCCCTGCACATCTGTTTCTACCCTTGGGGGTATAAATATTTGGGCAATTCTCTATGACCCGCAAGTGGGTGCATTGCCAGTTATGTACAGCAAACAGTTCACCAAGACTTGCTCCTTCTGCTGCTCAGTGTTCTTGTTGCCCTTTCCAGGGGGCTTTAGTCCCCAGGTGCTGCTTAGAGTTCAGGTGGTAACTGCCCTAATGATAGGAGCTATCAATCATGGTTCTCCATTCCAGCTAGGTGACATTAAAATTTCATGGCTAGTAGTGGATGCTACACTAAGGAAGGATCTTAGTGAGCAGTAGTGGGTCCAGAGGTGAATCAGGAATGGTGAAGGGAGCAGAGGTCATTTGTGGGAGGAATAAAATAATGCTCTTCAGCTTAGAGAAGGCAAGAGTGAATGGGGATATAATGGCTGTCAGGCATAAAGGAGTTAAACTCCAGAAAGTAGAGCCAGTATCCATAATGGATTGTGATTTCAGGGCACTGGTGGCTGTAAACCTAGCTACTCAGGAGGCTGAGATCTGAAGATTGAGGTTCCAAGCCAGCCCAGGCAGGAAAATCCAGGAGGCTCTTCCTTTCAATTAATTACCCCAAAGTAGGCAGTAGTATACGGCTCAGGTGGTAAAATGCCAGTCTTAAGCATAAAAGCTAAAGGACAGCCCCCAGGCCCTAAGTTCAATCCCCAGTACTAGCACTCATGCGTGTGCACGCACACATGCACACAATTATAAAAGGAGGCGCATTGCATTTCAAATGGAGATGTTCTAGCTCTTCCAAACAACAACACATTGCCAGAATTATTTGTCCAAAAAAGCAGCAGCCCAGCCTTAACCAGAGCACAGAGGGTCCCTGTATGGCAAATATAATTTCAACTATATTTGGGCACTGGGCCAGGACATAGGAATTCAGGGATGGATTCACAATGGTCCTATTCTTAGAAGCTTCTGGGAACAAGGAAGGAGACACAACGATGTACTAACTCAACTGATAGATTTACTTATGTCCCTGGGGTCCTCTTCTTCATCTCCTTAGCCTCCATCATGGCCACAGGAGAAGGGAACTGAGGCTCATCAAAGCTAAGTGGCTTGCCACTGATCTCATGGCTGGGGAACCACAACCAGCATTGAAACCCAGGTTTGTCTCACTAGGGAGCCTAGATCTTCCACTACCAGGGAGCTTAGGGAGAGAGAAGGATGGGAGGAGATTTATAGCTGCATAATTTGTTACAGGACATACTGAAACAGAAAGGGCCCAACTTAAGAGAGAATGCCTCTACCCTGAGTCAAAGGTGGGAAACTATCCGAACGTTGATGTTTCTTCCAACTCTAACTCTGGGCTGTACCATTCTAGCTCAGTCTGAGGAAATAGGGTTAAAAGATAAATCCACTGCTAAAAGCAATTCTGAGGCACCTTTGAATCAAATGAAATTTTCTTCTTCATGATTGCGGGTTTTTTGTTTTGTTTTGTTGTCAGCAGTGCCGAGGATGGAAGCCACAGTCTTAAATGTGCTAGGCACATCCTCAGCCTATTATGGTATTTCGTAAAAGAAGACCTGTGGCTCCAGGGGGTTATACACATTTCCAGGGTCTATAAAACATATTAAAATGCATTAGAATGTTGAAATGAGAGGTCAGACATGGTGGCACATGCTTGTTATCACAGCTACACAGAAGGTGAAAATTGGAAGGATTTGAGTTTTGAGGTCAGCCTGGGCAAAAATGGTAGCAAGACCCCATCTCAATCAGGAATCTGGGTATGGTGGTATGTGCCTTAAGTCCCAGCTATGAGGAAGACCATAGGTAGGAAGATCACTGTTCAGACGAGGCTGGACCAAAACACCAGACTATCTAAAAAATAACTTAAGGAGCCAAAGGGGCTAGAGGTATGGCTCCAGTGGCAGAGCTCTTGGCAAGCTGAAGGCCCTAAATTTAAACTTCATACTGCTAAATATAAATTATAATCTAAAACATTTTTATAAAGACCCGACTTTCTTTTGCCAGCCTAAGTCATCATTGAGACTTTTGGGAGAAGGGGCTTAAGTTTCTCAAGCCAGACTGGGAAAGGTGTGTCCAAAAATGGAAAAGGTGAGAAAGAATGTCTTGTCTTTAAAGGGCATCTGTAACAAGGGCATGGTGATGCACACTTAGAATTCCAATACTCCAAAGCTGAAGCACGAGGATTATGACTTCAAGGCCATGTAATGAGGACTATGTAATGAGATTCTATCTCAAAAAGCCAAAGATCAACCTACCAACCAACCAATCAACCAAAGACCCCTGTATAAGGTTCAGGTTTCTGAGACAGCCTGTGGGCCTTTCCTCTACTGTAGGAGGCTAAGCAGATGCCTGTTGCACTTAGCCTTGTGTTTGGCTCACAAGGTCTATTTTCTGTGTGGATCCTTTGCCCCCACTTAAAGGGTAAACATGTTTAGTTGGGAGCTTTTCTAAGAGCTGGGAGATTGTGAAGCTGCCCTCAGCCTGGACAACAACATCAGGGCAGGTAGGAGGCTGAGGTGTGCCCATACTTCCCTGGCATTTCCTTCCCTTTCTACCATTCCTCCCCTGCCTGCCCCTGCTCTTTAGAATGGAGCTCAGCAATTCTTTGAAATCAAAATGCATGAATGAAATAGAAGGGGTGAAACCCACGGACTTGGTCTGAGGCTGGGAAAGCCGCAGCCAAGGTGTTAAATAACCACTCTTCAAACGAGGAGGAAATCGAATCTGGCTGGAGCAGCGGCTCCTGACTTTCCTTCTGCAGGCTCATTTGCTCCCACAGGAAGTGGGGGGCCCTACCCCAGCTCCTGTTACAGGCGGCAGGCAGCCCACGAACTCGACGCCCTGTGGTTGTCCAAGACCTAAGCCTGGTGGAAAGTTTCACCTTGAGGAAGGAAGTTTCCATTTCCCCTTCCAGCCCCTGAGGGAGAACGCAGTGCGGCAGACGTCCAGGCATGTCCTCTGGGGACAGCCTGCTACTGGCCCTGCCAGCAGCTAGGTACTTCTCTTTGGGGCCTTGTACCCTCCTTGGGGAGCTTTGGTCTCTCTGAGATCCCCAGACTCATGGCCCAACACTTGGCCTCCATAAGCAGTGTCCTAGAGTGGACAATGACACTGTCCCCACACATGTCCCCAGAGGTACCAGCTCTTGGAACAGTAGTCGTCAACATTCTTCACCTTGTGTGGAACCTTCTGATCCTCCCCAACAACCTCAGAAATAGATATCTTCCTCACCAAAAGATCAGCAAAATGAGATTCAGGAATGTTAAACTGCTTGTCCAAGACTCAAGTTGGGTTTGGACCTAAATTCTGTTGACTTCACCAATACCAGCTGTTTAAAGTTAATTTTTTGTCAGTCCTGAGGCTTGAACTCAGGGCCTGGGTTACTGTCCCTGAGCTCTTTTGCTCAAGGCTAGCACTCTATCACTTTGAGCCACAGCTCCACTTCTGGTTTTCAGGGAGTTAATTGGAGATGAAGAGTCTCACAGACTTTCCTGCCCAGACTGGCTTTGAATAGTGATCCTGAGATCTCAGCCTCCTGAGTAGCTAGGATCACAGGCATGAGTCACCAGTGCCTGGCTCTAATTTTTTTTCTGGTTATCAGATTTGTTGTTGTTTTGTTTTTGAGCTGATTCTGGGGCTTGCACTGAGTGCTGTCTCTTCTTTTTTTCATGCAAGGCTGGTACTCTACCACCTGAGCCACAGCTCTACTTCTGGGGATATTTGGTGGTGAGAGATACGAGTCTTACATACTTTCCTGCCCACGCTGGCTTCAAACTGGGATTCCAGAGCTTAGCCTCCGGAATAGCTACGATTACAGGCATGGGCCACTCACTGGTACCTAGCCTTGGTTCCTTATTATCCTTGCTGATGGGCATTCTGTTTATCTCAGAGGGGGGAAAAGTATTTTATGACTAGCTCTATTAAAACCACTGCTCTGGGTTTATTTTGGAACTCTGTGTGTGTGTGTGTGTGTGTGTGTGTGTGTGTGTGTGTGTGTGTGTGCGTGTGTTTGTTTTGAGGCTTGAACTCAGGGCATGGGTACTATCCTTGAGTATTTTTGGTCCAAGGCTGGTCAGTTACCACTTGAGCCACAACTCCACTTTCAGCTTTTTGGTGGTTAACTGATAAGAGTCTCACATACTTTCTTGTCTGGGATGGCTTCAAACTAGGATCCCAGATGTCAGCCTCCTCAGTAGATAGGAGTAAAGGTGTGAGCCACCAGAACCCAACCTCGATGTCATTTTTCTGTTTTACTTTGTTGAGATATTAAATAGAGAAAGTTCAAGATGGAAAAAGGTAACCAAGAAGTAGGAGCCCCTTTCTCTCTTTCCTAACTCTGTCAGTGACTTGGGGTAGGAGGGGGGAGGAAAGGACCCCTTCTCCCTGTTATCCAAGGTAATACTTAGTAGATGATCCCTCGGCATGTCCTCTCTGCCTCCATCCAAACTTTCCCTCTACCTCAGGCCTTCCAGAAACAGCCAGATCTGCCCCTCTCAGCAAGGCCCTCTTTACCTTGTGGCCATGACTTCTCACTTCACACGCACAGACAGAATGGAGGAACAGAAGAGCCTTGGAGAACAAGAGTCTATCCATCACCCTTTTGGTTCTAGGACATATACATCTTTTTTCCCCTCTGGAAGTAGGTTGAATTCAGGTGATTTAACCCCATCCTGCTCAGCTCAGGTTGATAAACTAATGGCTCCATCTTCTCTGAGAATAGCCAACAGTTGAAAGGCCATGGGCAGGGAGGCAGCCATTGAAGAAGCACATGACCACCGGGGACTAGGAGGCATGGTATGTGTGAGATGCCTTGTGAATTACTAAGGGTCAGGCAAGTGTAGAGACATTTGTGTTGCCATGGTTACCCAAGCACCTTTGGGAATACCCTTGGAGAGGCAGATGACAAACAGTGGGACAGTGTCTTCCAGGTCCCAAGCACCCCTTTTCAGGGCCTCTCTCTATATTCCCTGTGATCACCTGCCCCAGGTCCCCCTTTTTTTAGTGCCAGTATGGGGAGCTTGAACTCAGGACTTCACACTTTCACTTGGCTTTTTCCACTGAAGGCTGGAGCTCTACTACTTGAGCCATAGCTTCACTTCTGGCTTTTTGCTGGTTAATTGAAGATACATTGAAGATCACTGAAGAGTCGTGTGGACTTTTCTTTCCAGGCTAGCTTCAAACTGTGCCCAGCAGATCTCAGCCTCCTAAACTAGCTAGGATTACAGGCGTAACTCACCAGTCCCTGGCTTCATAGCTCCTTTCTAACTTCCTCCCCACATCCTCCCAAGGACCCCCAGTCACTTACATTGGTTTTCTGCTTGTCCAGCAAGGAGGCCCAGAGGCCTCTTTGGTGCCTCCTCCTCCTCCAAGTGGAAGTCCTCAGCCTGCCACTGCCCAGAGGCCTTGAAGAGCCTGGCACAGGCACCATAGGCACAGCACTGGTAGGCATAGGGTACCTCCAGGATCCTGTGGGGGTGGGGATGAGCTGCCTTAGTGTGTTTGGAGTTAGGCCTCAGCCTGTGTCAAAATATAGCCAGCCACTTAGTGCCTGCCCTTCTACTCCTAAATGCCTTCCTCCTGTGTTGAAGCCTCCTGGGCTGGCTTTGTATGAATGGAACAGCCAGACCCCTGACCTGAAGGGCTCTGGGCCTATTGCAGTCTTCCCATTCACCCTCAGGAGAGAGGTAGAGAGACAAACCTTTTGCCCATCAGTTAAGGAATCTCCTCAGGGGACTTAGAATGGGGAGCAATTCCCCAAGGCCACATAGGACTGGCGGGTAGAGTGTTGGTCCCCTTCCCAGGCAGCGAGTTTTCTATTTAAGGAGGAAGGGACTGGAGATGTCGTTCAGTGACAGAGTGCTTGCCTAGTATGCCATAAGGCTCTGGGTTTGGCCCCCAGCACTGTCTCCCTTATAAAAATGAAAGGAGCAAGGACACTTTGCCCTCTGTAAAACCCATACTCTGTCCCTTCCTGCCACTGGGCACATCGGAGCTGAACTCATTAGCTTGTAGCAGACAAGGCCTGGGCCACACAGGCAGTGCTGCTGCTGCCACCGCACGGAGAAGGCCTGGATGTCATTAGCACCAGGGACTGGCTGTGCAGCTTATTTTCCACTCATCAGTGCCCTGGGCTCTGCCCTGATTCCAGGGCCCCAGATGGCGCCCAAGGACGGACAGATAGTCTGGCTGTGTAGAACCAGGCAAGGAGGGAGGAGCTCCAAGGGCCTACATATCGTCTTACTCCCATCGTTACAGGTCGGTCCCAGTGTCTTCTGGGATTGGCACTTGGGATGGGGAAATGCTTCAAAGGAGATGTGGGTGAGAAAGGGACAATGCACCAGCGGCAGCTGGTTGGAGGGTCAGGTGAGCCTGCCCTGTATAATCTTGGCCAAATTCTAAGCCACCAAGGCTTTCCTCAAGTGGGGCTGGGGTGGGGAGGAGTAGCTTTCTCCCTGTCCCTCCCTGACCTCCAGCTGCTCCAACATGAATGTCTCTAGGTGTCAGCAAAAGTAGATCCTCACCTCAGTTTGGGGAAACTGTCCTTGGAGAAGGCCTGAGACAGAGCCAGGTTCCCTTTGAGCTTCAGATGCATCAGGCCCCCCAGCCCAGCCAAGGGTAATGTGGTCAGCTGGTTGTCTGTCAGGTCCCTAGGACAGTGGATGGTCAGGGTTATTGGCAGTCAGTGGGATTGCTGAGGGGCAGGGCTGTGCTGAGGGTGTGGCCAGTGCGCCTGGGATGGAGGCAAGAGGAGAGGAGCAAAGGACAGAAGGTGAGCACAGAGAGAGGACAGCATTATACATGGGGGAGGGGCCTTCTAACTCATTTATTCACTCAACAAACATCGAGTGCCAACTGTGGGCCAGTGGCTGTTCTAACTTAATGCCAACCTGTCTCCACTTATAGATAACATATAGAGCTCCAAAAGATAGCTCCTGTGCCCAGATCTGAGTTCCAACCAGCGCCCCCTTCCCGCTCTATCCCCTGGGGGACCTGCCTGTTCTTTGTCTCTTTTCCCTGCCTTTTCTCTGCTTTTCTGATCATAGGAGAGGCTGAGTAGGTATAAGACAGAACTGGTCATCTGGCCACAAGCAAGGATTGGGTCATCCATTTTTCCCTACAGGATCTGTCTGTAGTCAGAGGTGAGGACATTGTCGAACTTCTCCTGCAGACATTATTAGTGGAAGTCAAGGCTCCAAAGCAAACAGCAAGACCACAGACGGTGCGTCGTGGAAACTGCTTTGGACTGGCAGGCAGGAAACCTGGCACTGTCACCAACTCACTGTGTAACCAAAGGGAGTCACAACTTTGCGTGAGTTCCAATGTCCTCACCTTTCAAAGGATAAAAATATCTGCCCTACCTATCTGGCAGGAGTAAACAGGAGAGGAAAAGTGGAGGTGAGAGTTTTAAGACCACAGCCCAAAGCCCAGACAGCCACGGCCTGTGGAGAGATTGAAGGCATGCCGTATGGAGCCCTGGGCTCTGGCCTTTGGCTTCAAGCAAGCTTCTTGCCTTGGGCCTTGGAGACATCACCTGTAAAATGAGGATCTGGGGCTGAATGGTCTCTGAGGCCAGGACTGGAGCTAGCCCAAAGGAGCCTATACATTATTCAGAATCTGGGTTGACATGCCTTTGGGACACACCATTTGGCCAGCAGGCAGGCACAACATTCCCTTTGCCTTGGGCAGGAGTCCTTGTGCAGAGAACAACTTGTACCCATAGTGTGTGGCAGGTGATAAGAGGCCTCATCCAGCCTGCCATCATGACCATGGAGTCAAACCCACATGATCCCTCATACTCAATTCCAAGAATCTGTTGTTGCCAGGTGCTGGTGGCTTATGCTCATAATCTTAGCTACTCATGAGGCTGAGATCTGAGGATTGGGGTTCAAAGTCAGCCCAGCTAGGAAAGTCCATGAGGATCTTATCTCCATTGATCCAGCAGAAAGCTAGACGTGAAGATGTGCCTCACATGGTAGACCACCAACCTTGAGCAAAAAAAGCTAAGGGACAGCACCCAGACCCTGAGTTCAAACCCCTGCACATGTGTGTTTGTGCATGCGCATGCACATGTGCACACACACATACACACACACACACACAAAGAAGGAGAAGGAGAAAGAGAAGGAGGAGGAGGAAGAGGAAAAGAGGAGGAGGAGGAAGAGGAGGAGAAAGAGGATGAGGAGGAGGAAAAAGAAAGAATGGGGGCTGGGATGTAGCTCAGTGGCAAAGTGCTTGCCTAGCAAGTGCAATGTCCTGGGTTCGATCCCCAGTACCAAAAAAGACCAAAAAAAAGAGAAAGAATGGAAGGAAGGAAGGAAAAGAGAAAGAAAAAGGAAGGAAGGAAGGAAGGAAGGAAGAAAAGAAAGAAAGAAAGAAAGAAGGAAGGAAGGAAGGAAAGTCTGTTGTCTTCTACTGTCCACAATGACAGCAGGCCCTTGAGTTCTCTTACACCCTGGGTCCCACCTTGGTGAAGGAGTTCTGATCCATACACCTTTTTCATTGGGGGTGGGTGGGCAGGGGATCATGGGAAGGACCAAGGCTGCTGTTGTAGAACATTAGCAGATGATGTTCCAGAGCTTGCAGGACATCAGCTTTCTGTTCAACAAACCTCACAGTCTGTCAAACAGACTGTCAGAATGATGGATTAGGCTGGAGACCAATCCCTGGGATGTGTGGTCAAACATTTTATACATGTCCCTGGGGCTGGGGATGCAGCTCACTGGCAGAATGCTTGCCTAGCATGCACAAGGCTCCATGTTCTACCTCAACCTTGCAAAATAAACCTTTGACACCCTCCTCCCCCCAAAAACCCAGAAACACACACACAAAACACAAACACAGGGGTGGCCCTCCTGCTCCTACTGGCCATCCTAGAGTCCTTGTTGGTCCCTAGCATCCAGGGGAAAAGTCAGTGGCCACTTACAGCTTAACCAGAGAGTGCAACGTTGAGAAGGCCTCGGGGTGGATGGACCGGATAGCATTCCAGCTTAGGTCTCTGCAGAGAGAAAGCGCAGTACAGGAGGGGACAGTGACATGCACAGGGATCATTGTACCCAGTCTCGGCTCTCCCTCATAGACATCCTGAGAGTAGCAGTGATTTTGTGGGAAGGTTCCTATTCTTTCCCAGACCCTAACCTGGCTATGGTCCTAGGGTAGAGACATAGCATCTTGGCTCTATAGCCCTGTGCCATGCTGGGTAATCAGTGGGAGAACTGGCCTCCGAAGCTGTCTGGATGGGGAGAGCCTTTCTGTTGCATGCTGGGAAAGGAGCTATGGGGCAGGGAAATGATGTGCCTACCATCTATGCTTAAACTGAACATGTGTACTATGGGCATGATCCTGGCAGAGGGACATAGAGGCACCCCTGGGTGCTGCAGGTACTCACAGAGCTTGTAAGGAGCTCAGCTGGCTGAAGGTGTCGGCTCCAATTTCCCAGATCCGGTTGTGTTGGAGGCCACTAGAGTAGCAAGAGAGACTAGATGAGTCTTCAGGCTCAGTCTCTGGCTCTGCTCCACATCCCCGGAGCACTGGGAGGAAAAGAGAAGAGCCCCCCACTTCTCCTGGCACAGGAAGAAAGGGCCCAGCCCGCGGAAGTCACCAGAATTAAAGGGAGCACAAGGGGATCCGGTTGCCTTGGGTAAGTGGGTCAGGAGACAAAGCCACAAAACCATCCCTGTGGCCCCAAAGGGAGTCAGCTTCCAGTGTTCCCACCGGGTCTGGCTCCGAGCCTGGCTGATCTGCCTTCCATACTCCCCCACTGCCATGGGTCCTCCAGACCCTGGCATTGCAGCAGAGCACTGCCTAGCCCTTGGACAGCCCCAGTGACTGAGAGAGCTTGAGAGCTTGGTAGACTGCTTGTCTGAATAGGAGATGGACCTGGGCCTCAGTGATGACAAAGACCCCCATCATCATCCATGCTTCTATCTCTTCTCTCCTTGGCACACCAAAGCATTACTCTGCCTGGAAGCAGGTACAGGCATGGGGTACTCAGGAAGCTCAAAAGCAAAAGCAAAACAAACAACAAAACCCAGGAGCTAGGAGAGTGGAGCTTAGATAATTTTCAAATGAGATTTTTTTCCTTGTGAAACTCAAGTCTCATGTACTACTGCACATGTCCATGCGGACGGGAGGACACAGATGAGTCTGCATGTGCATGTGTGTGGAGTGTGGAAGAGAGCACACTCCAAAATGCAGGGTGCTTGAGCAACCGCGAGGCTTCCCCGTGCCCAGCCCACCGCCCTGAGGTGACCTTGTTCTCCCACCAGCTTTAATTACTACTGGATATCTGTGTCACAGTTACTTACACAGAGACACCTTGAGACTCCTTTAGAGAACCAGCTCCTGGGTCCTGTGGGACATGGCAGGCCTCTGCCAAATTTCTAGTCCTAACTCTGTGCTTAGTTGACTCAGAGAAGGGGAAAGGTCAGCGTGTGCTGTGTAGCCTTGCTGCTGCCAGACCTGCTGAGAGTCTGGCTTCCACTGCCTTCGTTTCTCCCCTTCCCCCAGACTCACATTTCCTCCAGCTTCTGACACCTGTGCAGGCTGGGCAGCACCTCGATCTGATTATGGGACAGCTCCCTGGAGAAGAGAGAGAGAGGATGGGGGCGGGCAGAGTGGGGTAAAGCAGTGGCTATGGGGGAGGTTAGAGAGAGCAGGAGAGGCTGCTCTGGTCAGGGCTACACTTTCCTGTCAAGCAGACAAAGGTCATAGGACCCTGCGGGCACATGGCTGTGGATGCATCTCACACTAGGGTACCATTTCCTTGGCAAGTCCCGCTCTTCACTGGGCCTCAATGGGCTGACTTAGTATTTTGTCAGGTGAGGCTGCCCTATCCCCACGGAGGCCTGCAGGAGGAGCATCCTGAGAGAATCCAATAGGAAGTGGGAAGGGCATGGAGATGAGGAGGGAGGCAAAGAGTGGGGCACAGGGCATGGGGCACTGGGCTAGCTAGCCAGGAGAACATGGACAATGCTGAGCAAGCTAGTCAATGGCAATCCTGTGAAGTAGTCTTATAACCACCTTTTATGAAAATTGGCAGGGGAAGAGCAGAGCTGGGGGCCTTGGGGGAACATCTGGACTAACGCTTTCCCTTAGATAAGGAATTTGAGGCCCAGGACCTCAGAACTAGACCTGCCCAGGGACATGCTGCCAGCCATGGCAAGGTGGGGTCTGGAGCCCCAGATCGTGATGCCCCCGAGTCAGCAAACCCTGTCTGAGGTAGTCCCTGGTTTTAGATTGGTGTTGAGGGGGAGAGAGATTAAAAAAAAAACTATGACTTAGTTTATAGGCCACTTAAGTACCTTCCAAGTCCCAGAAGGAAGTAATTTCTTATATAAACTAGAGTAATAATGCCATTTATTGAGTACTTACTATGTGCTAGGTTAATTACACATATTTTCACAAGCTTCACAAGTTTACTCCCATTTTACAAATAAGGAGATTGAGGTTCTGAGGTGTGAAACAGTGAGTTTAAATCAACACAGCTAATAAATCTCAGAGCTAGGCCTCAAACAACCCAGGTCAGATTTCCAGAGACTCTGTCTTTCATCCTCCACAAGAGATGACATTGTAGTCCTTCCTGGACAGGTTCTCAGCAAGAGCCTTGGCTGCCCCTCTCTCCAGCAAGAGACGTGACTAAGTGGGACCTAGGGACAGACATGGGCATAATGCCAGGGCTGTAGATTGCTTGTGGGCCACTCACAGGACTCGGAGCCTGGGCAGCTGTTGGCACATCCCCGGTGGGAGCAGCCGGATGCCTGCGCGAGTCAGAGTCCTGCAGGGAGAACAGAAACAGAGCTGGCACCAGGCCCAGAGCCCTGCCATTCCCAGCCACCTGTCCCTAGCTCTGGGCCTGATACTGTTGTCAGAGGCTGGGGTGGAGGGAGAGGTAGAGCTGACAAAAGAGAGACAGGGCAGGAGGTAGGGCTGTAAGGACAGACAAGGAGCAGACCCTGGCATCTGAGTGCTTCCTTGGGCCTGGAGGAACTGGGGCTGGAAGAGGGGGGAGAGAGCTCTAGCCCAGGAGCTGGGCTTGGCAGACAGTCCTTACATGTCCAGTCCATTCCTTCCACTCCACCCAGCCCCACCTGACCTCTGTAATTGTCCCCAGTAACACTGCACCTATGAGACAATGACTAAATCTTCTGTGCTTCAGGGGGCTGGGAAGGAGGGATGGCTATAGCAGTAGATAGAAATGAGCTCCAACTAAGCCATGGGAACACAGACTTTGCTTCCTGTGTCTGGGGGAGGGAGAAGAGATGGGAAAGAAGGGGAGGACCCAGAGGGCCAGGGTGGAGAGGGTATAGGGCATGTTGGAGAATAGGCTTGGCTTAGACACATGGTGTCTCAAGAAAGACCCAAGGCCAAGGTCATCATTGGGAAACTATGACTTCCCTCATGGAAAATTTCCCACATGCCACTGAAGCTAGAGAGGAAACAATGAAGGCACAGAGGAGCGTTGCAGCTCTCGCAATGACAAGAATGAGCTGACTCCTCATAATCACATTGGGTGCTTGATTATTCCATTCATTCACTTAAAATGTCTTGAGGACCTACTATGGGTGAAAGCCCCTTCCTTGCTTGGCAGAACAGAAAAAAAATAGAGAATCAGAAAAAAGTCTTTGTGGTAATCAAGCTTCCAACGCTGCTCCTCATTCTGTGCCCTTGTTGTACCAGTGTACCTGCCAGACTGGACATATCCAAGCCCAGCCTCCTCATGGCTGAGGCACGGCTACATCTGCAGATGGCAGACCCTGGGGCCTGAGCCAGCAGTAGAAGTAGGATAGAAGTAGGGGAAGGGAGCACAGAGTCTCCACAGCCTTCCAGGGACAGGAGGCTGAAGAGCTTCAGAGTGTACTGGGGGAAGGGCAGCAGAAGAGACAGAGCAGGTGAAGGGAGAGAGAATCCACTCACAGGATCTCCAGACTAGTGGTGCCTTTGAGGTCTGGGAACTGCTGGATGTCTGCAGCACCATTCAGGGATCTGTGAACAGAGGCAACAGACTGAGAAGGGTTATCCACATCTGGGCTCTCTCCCATCTCCGGGTCTCTATACCTTTGGGGGGAAATGTCACTTTACCCCAGTCTTCCTCAACTCAGCCACTCTGGCCCTGGTGGTGACTGAAACATGCTTAGCAGGGTCCAAGCAGCCATTTCCTTTTTGTTGCTTTGTGGTTTCCTAAGACAAGGTCTCACTATGTAAGAAAGGCTGACCTCAAAATCACCATCCTCCTGCCTCAGCTTCCCAAGCACTGGGATTACAGATATGTACTACCACATCCAGCTCAACCACTTTGTGTGTGTGTGTGTTGGTACTGGGGCTTGAACTCAAAGCCTTGGGCTCTTACTTGGCTTTTTTGCTCAAGGCTGGCACGCTAAACAGAGGGTTAGAGTCCTCAGAAGCTAAGGGTTTAAGCTGAGGGTTAAAAACTGGGTGCTGGTGGCTCATACTTGTAATCCTACTATTCAGGAAGTTGAGAGTGAAAAGCATGGTTCAATCCAGGCACAAAAGTATGTGAGACTCTTCTTAAAAGTTTATTTAATTTGGGGCTAGGAAGGTGGCTCAGTGGTAGAGCGCTTGCCTTACATCCATGAGGCCCTGGATTCGATTCCCTCAGCACCACATAAGCAAAAAGAAAAAAGCCAGAAGTGGCGCTGTGGCTCAAGTGGTAGAGCACTAGCCTTGAGCTGAAGAGCTGAGGGACAGTGCCCAGGCCCAGAGTTCAGGCCCCACGACCAGATCCAAAAAAAATTATTTAATTTTAAAAATGATGTTTAAGTAGTTGTACAAAGAAGTTGTGATTTAACAAAGCAATTTATGAATACAATGCATCTTGATTAATGTCACCCCTTTCATCATTCATACCCATCCGTTCCCTTGTGAGACTTATCTCCAATTAACCACCAAAAAGCTGGAAAGTGGAGCTGGAAGTGTAGCTCAAGCAGTAAAACACTAACTCTGAGAGATAAAACTAACGGTCAGCACCCAGACCCTGAGTTCAAGCCTCAGTACCAGCACACGCACACCATGCATACAGACAGACAGACAGACAGGCAGGCAGGCAGGCAGGCACGAACGCACGCACGCACGCACGCGCACACACACACACAGAAAAGAAAAGAAAAAAAATCCCTGAGGGGCCTGTGCTCAAGCCCAGTCAGTACTTGAATACCTTGGTTTCCATTTATAAAAAGGAAGAATGACATATGTTGGGATGAAGTTGAAATATGGCAATAAATATGCAAATGAAACAAGTACTTTGAAGAGGTTCACTCTGCACTGAGTGGCCACAGGATGCTGAGAGCAATCCACAGATGTTTCTGTGTAGTGGGACATGGGCTGGGAGTGAAAAAAGCTGGAGAGAGAAAACCAAAGATCTTCAGGCTAAGTGTGATAAAGATGGCCTAGCGAGGGGCCTAGAACGTTCTGCCCTAAGCCACCGTACAACCATCCTACCACCTTCAAGAACATGGCACTCAGAAGCTCAACCCACTGTATCCTAGTCCAGCAGATATCTGTGAAGCAGCTACCAAGAGCAGGGCCAACTGTAGAGGCCAGATGAAACTCCTTGGCTATGGAGAAGGGTCCTTGTCATTTGTTTGAGATCTGGGAAGACGCTGCAGGCATGGAGTTGGAGGGAGGCCAATAAGCCCAAACAGATCTGGAAGCAGGCATACATAAAGTAGATGTCTGCAGTGCTGCAAGCTATGTCTTCCCTAAGGGTTGAGCCTGGCAGTGAGAGATCTGCAGGAAGAAGATGGAGAAAGGGAGCAGAGAGGCCTTGGTATCCACTTACAGCGTGTGCAGCTTAGGCAGGAACTGGAATGCCGACCTTCCCACAAACTGGATTGGGTTATCATAAAAATGGCTGGAAGAAAAAGACCAGAACACCTTAATTCAGTCTCACTCACTTCAGGAGGGACCAAGGCCCACCTCTGCTTCTTTATTATTCCAGTGGAGTCTGTTGGAAAGGACACAGAAGAATGCAGCCATCTCACAGTTCTGCCTCCATGGGCCTTCTGTGTGCCAAAGTGTGCCCCCACCCACCCAAAGATCCAGAGAGCAATACTCACATAGTCTGCAGCAGAGGGTTGCCCATGAAGGCCTTCTCTGGGATAGCCTTGATATTGTTGTTGTGGAATCCCCTGGAAGACAGCACCCAGAAGCAGTGACCTGGGGAGCTCCATGGAACTTCCAACAGCAGACTAGACATTAGCCTGGAAATCCCAGATTCCAATCCCACCTATGAAATTTCTTAGGTCAACAACAGACTCATCCTTTCTGTTGACCAGTGTGAGGAGAGCAAGGGGAGGAGTGCCAAATTGCAAGCTTCAGGAAGCCTGTGAGAGCAACTCAAGACCAAGCAACTGAGTTCAGGAAAATCTGTTCCCTGCTCATTTGTGGTAGGGGCCCCAATGACACCGACAGTTTCCAAATTCTCTTTGTGTTCCTTAGCCTCTCTCACCTGTATCCTCCTCACTGTCCCATCATTGTTTCTACTTCTCCCACTCAGGTTCACCCTCAGACACCTCCAGCCAGTTCCCTTACCAAGGCCTGTTTGTTCCTCCCTTCATTCCTTCTAGTCAATTGTGTTTTTTCTGAATACCTCCTCTGTGATTGTGCTAAACCAAACTTTGAGGGATTAGCATATTTGTAAGGACAGTGGGTCTGTCCTCAAACAGCTTTCTCTCAGTAGATAATAGATGGATGAATAGATGAAAAACAGATTGGTAGATGGGTAGATACATAGTAGGAGATTAGTAAAAATAAATAAATAAAAAATAAACAGCATACAACTCTGGGTGATGGTGTGTCTAGAGAATATCAAGTAAGGAGGAAGGAAGACCTGCCCTGAATGTGGTGGCACTATTGTATAGTCTAAGGGCCCAGAGAGAATAAGAGAAGAAAACATCGAAAGCCAGCTATACAACAAACTCCTCCTCTCTGCTTCCTGGCTGCCATGATACCAGCTGTTCTTCCCTTGCTGAAGTGGACTGAAACCTCTGAAACAGTGAACAAAAGAAATCCTTTCTTTTTGCTTAGGTATTTTGTCACAGGAACAAGTCTACAATAGATGTATAGACAGTAGATATTGACAGAGATATAGATCTATAGATCTCTATAGATCTCTATAGATCTCCATTGCCAATGAGCCAGTGGAATTCCAATAGTTTCTTATCGGTATCTTTTCCTGTGGCTGGATCAGCCACCCCTTTTCTGTGACCTAAATACGGCTTTCCCACCTTCCAAATTCTGAAGGAGGCACTAGATTTTAGATGATTATTTGAGGCATGAAAATGCTGGGTTATCTGAAAGTTTGGGGCTCATTTCATGAATATTCATAACTTCTAAATCTGACTCCAGTCCAACTGTATGCTAAATCTCTTAGGTCCCTGAGAGTCCTGACTCCAGCAATGCTAGTTATTATCTTCTGCCAGCTCCATATTCTAATGTGGTCTGTATCTGCACCACTCTCCTGTCTCAGAGCCTGTGCTGTCATGGTACCTGAATCCCACAGCAGATAGGGACATTTTGGGTCTTTAACTCCCTTTTCCTGAGTGGGAGCAGGAAATCTTTCTTTCTCTCCTCTCTCTCTCCTCTCTCCTCTCTCCTCCCCCCACTCTCACTCGCTCGCTCACTCCCTAATTTATCTTGATATATAAAAATAAATCCTTGCTCAAATTTCCACCTGTTGAGCCTATCCTTGTTGTGAGACCCCTTGAAATGCTTCTCATAAGTAGATCTCAAGGTCCTGTAATTTTGCATGGAAACTGGGAATATGAAGGATGTCCTCATCCATCATCTGGTGACATCAAGATGCTTCAGTCCACAATCATATGTCAATCAATGTTACTATGAACTCCCATGGTCATTTTGCCAATACTATGCAATTTCTACTTTGTCCTGTTCTTGATTTACACAGGCTTTGTTGTATAGTTTGCAAGGCTGGAGGATCTCTGGGGAGAAACGATGTCTGTCACACTCTTCCCTTGTATTTATCAGCAAGCTCAGAAACCAGCACAATAGGGACTCAGAGAATAGTCTAAGATAATAATACACAATGGCTGTGGAAGACCACAGCATAGCCCTCAGTCCATTTCTTAGTCCCTCTAGGGACAAGGTGCTGAGATGCTGATCCTGCAGACAACCCCTGAGGTTCATCTTTTCATTCCTCTCTGGATACATCCCAAAAGGGGCAAGGTCAGGCCCAGGCTGTAGGAAGTGGCTTGTGCCTTGGTCTTCCCAGACTGGAAGGACTCAGGGCCTTAGAAAATGGTTAAAGACAAGCTGCCCTGGGGGCTAGGAAGGACCACAGCTCTAGTATTTTCAAGGACTATGGGAGGTGGGGAGGTGGAGAGGTGAGGAGGGGAGGGATGATGGAGTGGGGGGGGCTGGCTTCAGCCTCTGCCCTCAGGTGAAGAAGAACCCAGAGAAACCAACAGAAGAGCTTACAGTTCCTGCAGTCTGCTCAGGGTTCGGATGGCCACGGGGAACTCCTGCAGCTCATTATAATTCAGGTCTCTGGAATGAAAAGCAGAACAGTCATTAGCGCAGAGGCTTAACGGGGCATGTCAGGGTCCCCAAGAAATGGAAACTTGGCTGTGGGATTGGCCAGAAAGATGGGTTTTCCAATCTGTTGGATTCAGCTGCCAAGGTCTGGAAACACATATTTGGAATGTTTGTACTCCGTTCCTGCTCCACAAATCCTCAGGCTCAGAGCCTTCCTGGCTGCAGAACTGTTTTGAGTAGAGGAGACACTTCAAGGGTACCTGGAGCCCCCTTCCCCCCAAAAGTCTCCATAAGCCAACGAAAATATATTAGGGCTTTGGAACCATGGCAAGGTCTGAGGAGCAGGGAGCACAGAGTGATCTTTTGTTCCCAGTACTCAAGATTCTAGAAAGTTCCTCAAATGACTACTTTGGTTCTAGCTTCTGCTATGGTTCTTCTATAAAAAATGGATATGGTGTCTTTTCTATTGTCTTGTTTCATGCTTTTTTTTAAACCTTTGGATGGTGGCATGACAGCTAATCTTTATTATTTTCTTACCTTTTGCTGCATTTTCCAATTTCAGAAAATAATGAAGGAAAAATTTAAAAAGATGTTGGCTAAGGGCATTTAAGTGTGTACACTTTTCAGGAATATCATCTTTTAGAATTATTGTTATTATTATTAAGTAGGTATACAAAGGGGTTACAATTCCATAAGTCAGTTTATGAGTACAACACTTTTTGGTCAATGTAACCCCTTTCTTTGTTCTCCCCTATTTTCCCTCTCCTGTCCCTACGCTTTTAAAAAATTATTATTTTTTATTGTCAAGGTGATATATGGAGGAGTTACAGTTATAAAAATAAGGTAATAAGTCTATTTCTTGTCAAACTTCTTACCCCTTCCCTCGTTTTTCTCCTGTTTCTACTCCTAAGTTACATAGTTCATTTTTACATATTGTACATCGAATATAATGACTACATTTGTTTACCCTTCTTTCTTCTATTCCTGTGCCCATCCACCCCAAACATGTTTTCACTTCTTAGTATTCATTTTGACAAACAGTACTTAGTTTAACAACATCTTTTAAAATTCACATATCCACACTGAGGCCCTCTGAGTCTAGGGATTGATCTTGCATGGAAGTTTCTATCTAAGTGTAAAGAAAGAAAGAGAGTGAGGGAGAGAGGCACTCAGGATACTATAGTAAAGGCAATGGGGGCTAGATATTGACCTCTACGTATCTGTGTCTTCAACAAGTCAACTCTTTCCAAAGAACTTCTGTGTTTGTGCCCTTGGAGGTTATGATAAGGCAGAGGGAGGGAGAAGAAATGGGAGAGGCTGAGGACAAATTCTGTTTTCATCAGAAAAGATTTAGAACTGCTTGTAACAAAAGAAAATCAAAAGTGTGTGTGCATGTACGTATATGTATATGTGTATGTGTGCATATATATGTGTGAAGAATACTGAGGTAGCTAGTGAAATGAGATCACTGCCACACATCTTTGCCAATTTGCTTCCATGAGGCTTTAAAAAAATTGCCTTCCCTACTGCTTGCTTCCCTATGGCACAAGCTGTTTTTTTTTTTTTTTTGTTGTTGTTGTTGGTTTTTGCAGGGGCAGGGTTGGAGGAGAGGCACAGAGGATTCTTTTAGAAATTGTCACTGCTGTAAGAAGGATTTCCCCTAATACTAGTAGAGATGACAACTTTCCAATTGTGGTGGTTTTTCTGTTTTGTTTTATATGCCAGTCCTGGGGCTTGAACTCAGGGCATGAGTGCTATCCCTGAGTTTTTTTTCTTTTTTTTTTATTGTGAAAATATTGTACAGAGGGGTTACATTACATGGGCAAGATACTGAGTACATTTCTTATCAAGCATTGTTGCCTCTTCCTTTGTTTCCCCTTCCCATCGCTTCCCATCTTCCCCCCTACCCTCCCCCCACCGCCAAAGTTGTAAAGTTTGTTTTTCGACATAATGATTTGTACATCTCATTGTTGCAATGGGTTCACCTGTATCCCTATTTAAATGATTTGTTTTTTCCCTTCCCCTCCACAAATTATACCAACATCAAATACAGTGAAAGCAGGGTTTATACCGTGGGGGAGGGACATACAAAGCAACAAAGAAATCATCTTATAAATATGTTAGAAACAATTGCATGAAAGCAAAAACATTTGATCCCTGAGCTTTTTTGCTCAAGGCTAGCGCTCTACCACTTGAGCCACAGCATCACTTCTGGCCTTTTCTCTTTATGTGGTACTGAGGAATTGAACCCAGGGCTTCATGCATGCTAGGCAAGCACTCTACCACTAAGCCACATTCCCAACCCTCAAGTTTTTTAAAGTAGGCTTTGTTTTTGCCCAGTAGCCCATGAGGAAATAAGCTTGATGGGTAATGATAGTAGGAGGTGCCGCGATATCTCTGTAATCCCATTGCTGAGTTACACAGTCCTAGGTTTTGGCAGTGGAAAGGAGTTGAGTTCCAATGTCTCTTTGAGCCTCCCAGGAGATCCCTAGCCAATCTTCTTAGCCTTTTAAAACTTCTTTTGGTGGTACTTGGGTTTGGATCCAGGACCCCTATGGTCATTATGCAAGGATGGTATTGATTGAACTCTGCCTCCAGTCCTTTATGCTTTCATTAGTTTTCATATACAGTCTGATTTTTGTCTAAGGCATCCTGAACCATGATCTTCCAAGTTACACCTCTCCACATAGCTAGTGTCAGGAGCATGTCACAGCTTCCAGCCTTTTTGCCCAGGCTAGGCTCATACCTCCTTCCTTCTGACTTCAGCCTCTTCTCAGTCTTTTAAAACCATTCTTGCCCCAATCATTTTAATGGATGTGCAGTACCAGGGCAGAGGGACCATATAGAAGTTCTTTAATTATAGAGTGATGTGGCAGGATTTGTGGATAAATAGCATGTTAACATGGAGATAATGACAGGTTCCTCTCCATAACAAAGTCATTATACTTAATAGTCCTTAGGTAGAGCCAGAAACGTAGCCCTAGGACCACGCAAGGCAGTGACAAGTGCCTGGCAGCCAATGAGCTGAGTAATTGTCCCCCTCTCTACACTAATTACCTGATTACTCCCAGACTGCCCTGGTGATCTCTACCTTACTCTAGCCTTTAGTGATCCAGATACCTTGATCAGCTCGCAGAGACTTTCCTTTAGGGCGTATGAGGGCAGGTCTTGGTCAGGCTGAAGCCTGCACGTGTATCGAGCACTTTGATTGAAACTAGGGGTGTTTGAGGAGGAAGCATGGAGGCTTTTCAAAGTCTGGGGTCCCTAGAGATACAGAAGATACCTGGAACATGAGGTCAGGAGCACTGAGCACGGAAAGAGCAGAGAGGGAATCCTTTATCTCTTTATACATCAAAAAGATGGACTCGGGCTGGGAAGATGGCTCAGTGGTAGAGTGCTTGCCTCTCATACATGAGGCCCTGGGTTCAATTCCTCAGCACCACATAAGCAGAAAAAGCTGGAAGTGGTGCTGTAGCTCAAGTGGTAGAGTGCTAGCCTTGAGCTGAAGAGCTAAGGGACAGCGCCCAGGCCCAGACTTCAGGCCCCACGACCGACCTAAAAAAAAAGATGGATGCTTCGTTTTCTTTCTTTCTTGTATGTGTATTGTCTTTTTTTGATACTAAGGATCAAACCTGGGGCATTACACTTGTTAAGCAAACACTTTACCGCCCAGCTACATCCCAGTCTACATTGTTTTTATTCTTACATTGCATAAACAGTTCATTTCACATCTCACAGTTTCAAAGCCAAGAGTTCCCTCTTTTACTTATTTTTACTTACTTTTTGTGTTTGTACTCAGGTTTGAACTCAGGGGCCTTGCACTTGTACTTGGCTTTTTTGCTCAAGATTGATGTTCTACCACTTGAGTCACACCTCCACTTCCGTGAGCCCCGTCCCCCTTTTTAACTTGGCTCAGCTCCTTAGGAATTCACCGCTGTTGTCCTAGGGAAGCTCCATTTCCCATCAGTAACATGGATGTATCTTCATTCATTGAAATATTATTTCTAATGCAAGCATTGCAGTAGTCTGGCTGGTCTGGCTTGAGTGCCTTTGCTTTCTATCCCTTCTGTCTAGGATATTCTTGCCCAAGATTTTTTTGGGGGGTCAGGTGGGGGAAGGAGGTACTAGGGCTTAAACTCAGCGCCTGAGTGCTGTCTCTTGACTTTATCAACTCAAAGCTGGTGTTCTATCACTTGTGCCACATCTCTACTTTTGGCTTTTACTCAGACTTTTCTGCCCAGGCTGGTGTGAATTGTGATCCTGAGATCTCAGGCCCCAAAGCAGCTAGAATTATAAGAGTGAGCCACCAGTTCTCAGCTTCTCCAAGATTTTGTAAAGTTTGTTTTTCACTGTGTCTCTGCCTAATTTACCCCTCATCAGAGAAGCCATCTATGACTACTTGATTTCAAGTAGCACACTCTGTTGCTCACTATTGCTTTGCTCTGAGTAAAGGTAGCCTCAAGTCCTTTGTGGCCTCTTCTATCAACAGGTGGCTTCTCCTCAAAAATTGGTCTGAGCTGGGCACTGGTGGCTCACGCCTGTATCCTAACTACTTAGGAAGCTGAGATCTGAGAACCACAGTTCAAAGCCAACCTGGGCAGGAAAGTCTGTGAGACTCTGGTCTCCAATTAACAAAAGAGTTGGAAGTGGCGCTATGGCTCAAGAGGTAGAGGGCAAAAAGAGCTCAGGGACAGTGCCTCAGGCCCAGAGTTGACGCCCCAGAACCGGCAAAATAAATAAATAAATAAATTGGACTGGTTTCATCAGTGGCATTGACCAATAGAATGAGATAGATGGGAAGATATGACCTGGTCGCTAGAGCCTTGTAGCCTTGACCTTATATGCTTGTTCTACTATGTAATTCCTTATTGTAATAACACCAAGAAGGAAGCCTAGATTAAACTCTTTGAGTTTTTCTTTTCCTGTTTTTTAGTGGGGGAGGAGGATGTTGGTGTGGTATTGGGAATAAAGCCACCCAGCCAGTGAGCTCAGACAATCCACAGACCCACGAG